TTTTTTTTTTTTTTTTTTTTTTTTTTTTTTTTTTTTTTTTTTTTTTTAAGTTGAAGTGTGTAGCCTGGGTTGAGGTGATTCACTCGTACACGTATATAAGTACGAGCGAAAAGAGCCTCCTCCTCCATCAGCTTGTTCAGCATCGTATAGGTATAGATATAGGTATGTTTCGTAAGACATTGTCTTGTTTCTCCAGCTCGTTTGTACTTTAACGGAGTTGATGCGCGAGTAGAGAGTGAGGAACTGCGCTTTTTTTTTCTTTTTCTTTTTTTTCAAGATACCCTGCACACGCAGACACTACGAGGTTAGCGCATAAATGACGAGTGCTTACGTTTCCCTCGTGGGTGCGGGTATTATTCTCTTTCTCCGAGTTCTTTAATTTTTGCTGGATTTTTTTTTTTTTTTTTTTTTTCTGTTTTTATTTCTTGACTCAAATACTAGTAGTATAATTGTTTTCCATAAATCTGCAGACATACCCGTAAACCCCTTCAATTAATTTTTACCGATTTTTATAAAATATACTTTTATCGTTCTTAACTGTGTACTAATAAGTTTTTTTGTTATTTTCTGTTTGTTTCAGGTGAGTTCACAAATTTATCTATCAATGAAAGTTACAGCACCGAACACGTGAGTCATACGTTGCACTAATAGTTTTACACCGGTTCACACGATATGTGTTCGATCATAGACACTGAAGGAAAACATTTTGAAAAGTATTTACATAAAAAGGAAACCTTTTTTTTAAAATGTCAAATAGTTACTCAACGTTGCGTTGAAAAAATCGTTTGTCAACCGATCACGATCGGTTGTAGCCTCGTTACCGATTTTTTCACGCAATGTATGATGTTCTTGCTTCCTATTAAGTATTATTTTCGTATATATACCTTGTACCAACAGGCGCTATTCTTCTGCCACGGTATACTATCTACGTTCCGTGCAGAGGCCTGTCATTTCAGTACAGTACGAACGAGTCGGAGAGAGCCCCTCGGAGCTATACGACCCGTCATACGAGTGGCTACAGTATTTAACGCTTTCAAACCGACAGTCTTCGTTGGCTCAGTTGGCTAGTCGCTCGACTCCCGTACCCGAGGGGCTGAGTTCGAATCCTCGCGGAGGCCACTTTTAATCGTCTTTTCTGCTGCACATTGCCCCCGAGCTTTTTTTAAAAGCTCTCGCGCACCTCGGTACTATCTCCTTGAACGTTGTTACAAGCGTTTGTCGCGTGAATACAATAATTGATATCGAGACTAGAGTCATTTACTGGATCCTTTACCATGGCCAGGAAATGCTAAAGTGTTCTCGAAAAGTATAATAGGCGCCACCACTTATGCTCTGCGGTCTGGTCTGTACAAATGTGCCTTCTGCAGATACCTCGGTGGGCGCACAATTTTTTGTTTTTCATTTATTTATATCAGCAGTTACTATTTAAATTTCGATAGTGTGCAATTTCTCGTGAAACTGCTATTTAATCATTGGTGTAAGTTGTATACTTGTTCAATTAACATTTTTTTATTTCGTGACAAACTCTTTTCGCTTTGACGATTGATAATTTCGCCGATCGGTATTCCAAGGGGAAAAAAAATTGATTTCCAACAATTAGGTGAGGAGAAAACTGATTACCTCGTTTGAAAAGAAAAGGAAGAAAAGACAGCCGGAAATCACGAAAAGAGATAAGCAGCAAACGCGCGTGCTCCGTCTGAGAGACTCTTACGGGAGAACAAAAAAAATTACAATAATTTCGACTCACGATTATCGGGCTCACCGATCTTTTTTTTTTTTTTTTTCCTCTGCTTGCAGCCCCCCTCGACACAAGAATGCCCAAATCCAAGGCTCACGTAGCGACCCGCCGTAGTATAATAAAACGGTCTCTTCTTTTTCGGCTTTTAAAGACACACACACACATACCGCTGCTCATGAATTTCTTTCAAACGCGTACAACACAACTGCCTATCTTTCGCAATCGAGGGTCAAGCCGTACAGCTTTTAGGCCCCCGCCCGTTGCGAAATCCGTGGATTTATGTGTATATATATATATACACACTTGTATAAAAGGCCTTTGCCTCAACATGTTCAACGTTAAGTCGCGCGTCGAGTAATTAATGCCGGCCCAGTATATTTTGCTTCGTGCATTATTCAACGAGCGAGCCTGGCATTCGCGCACACGTGCCTATCTTTTTTTTTTTTTGTGTTGCACGTAAAGGTGTATCATACATTGCACGTACCTTTTGTGCACTTAAACTTGCATGAGGCGAAGATGCCGCGGGACTTTTTAGAGCGTTAGCGGCGCTTCCTTTTCCGACCTATTTGGCTGAACGCGGCTTAGAATACTTTTTTTTCTCCTTTTGCCAATCTTGATTACAAACGAAACGGCGTTTGGCTTGAAAGTCCAAGGCTGCGCTTTCTTTCCTCATTTTTTTTCTACAGTTAAGAAGCTGATGGTGTGCTTTGCGCTTGCAAGCTTGCAACGCGTTGTTAGGTACATACGCCGAATTAAGGAGTGTGTTTTCTTTGTTGGCATTTTTTTGTTCAATTGGCCGAATGTGTGTTTTTATTTTCAAAACTATGAATGTTTAATTCAATAGAAAATTTCGAAATCGTGGCTAAACGTCATTGGTGCACGTGATGAACTACCTTTTCATTTATCCTTTGATTATTGCAAATAATTTTTTTTTCGGTTTTTTAATAAGATTGAATAATTTTTTACCGTTGGAGCATTTGTTTTCATTTGTAAGAGTTTGCCGACTCGACCAGCGAATTTGAATTTAAAGTAGTGCGGCATGTTCTGCACAATAGAACGAATTTGATTTCAAAACAATTGCCTTAGTTTTTCAACAATGCACAATAGGACAACTGGCAGCCGCTCAAATGAAATACAGTTCGACTCGTCGCGAATAAAATGCGGTCCAAGTCGTTGTGATGAATTTTCTACACGAACCGTCACGCGTTTCTGGAGAAATTTTATTTTATCCGCTGATCGATAGATTTTTTTTTTAAATCGCTGTTTACTTTTGGTGGAAAATTCGTTAGTTGATACGATTTGAGATAGTAATCCTTTAAATCGAATTTAAATCGAATAATTTTGCGACAGTGAAAAATCGTTCTCAAGAAAAACTTGGAGACATTTATTTATTTTTTGTCTCAGTTAAAAACTTTGTTGATTTTTGAAACTTCAGTACTTGAAACAACTAATTGTCTTTAAAAAAAAATTAATATCTAATTGTATTGAAAGATAGTTTCACATAAGGCAAAATTTAAAGGGTGACACTAAAAAATTATTAAAATTAATTAAAAACTGAACATTTAACGATACCACTCGAGCTTTTCATAAATGCAAATATTTTTTTTTAACCTCACCATTATGTGACACTTGAAAATTTGTTATTTTTTAGATTCGCTACCTTGTACTGTATCAAAATCACTCGGAAGCCTTAAAATTATAAAATAATAATTATACCCTAAATAAAAATTATCATTGTCTGCATCGTCGCTCAATCAACTGACAATCAACTCGTCCACCGCGGCCGCGTCGTGACCTCAAATCGGAAAAAAATGGCCTTAGATACCGATAGCTCGATCTCATACGAGCACCAATCCAAGATCGTACTTAATTAACAAACAAACAGACAAATAAATATAACGGAGGGATGCCCATCACGTCGCGTTGCAGGAAGCCACCCGGCGGAAGTACCTACTGGCGAGCGTCTGCGTGGCGATCGGCAGCTTCCTCGTGTCCGAGGTCTCGGCCCATGGGCGGCTCATCGAGCCACCGTCCCGGGCCTCGATGTGGAGGTACGGCTTCGACACGCCGCACGACTACAACGACCATGAATCCTACTGCGGTGGCTTTTCACGCCAATGGCAGCGGAACGATGGCAAGTGCGGCATCTGCGGCGACGCCTGGGACTTGAAAACGGTAAGGGCGCTTTTTTTTTTTTTTTTTTTTTTTTCAAGTTTACTGTTTAGGGCCAAAACTGAGAGTTATGTTTTCTAGCTAACTTACAATGGTGATATTATAGTAATACGTAATTTTTTCTTTGTGCAGTCTCATTGTTTCTCATTAGTACATATAGAAACACATACTCGTTCTTCGTCTGTATTTTCTCGACTACGAGAAATTATTCAAGCTCTTTTTTTTAATTTGAATAAAATTAGCTGAATCATTACGGACGCGTACGAGTCCCATGTAAATTTATATGTTCGCTCCAATTTATAATTTATTGTCGAGTGAGTCTCGTGGGAAAATATTGATTTGACCGACGTGACGATTCCTTGTGCTCTGACAATCGAGTTTTCATCGTTTGAAAATCTAAAGGAGCAATGGGATGGGCGTGTATTACGCCCAAAGTTCAAACGTTCGCTGAAGATTCCCGATAACAATTCCGGTCTGGTTGGCGAGGTTTGATTCATCGCGAACGTGAATCACCACATTCCTCGCTCGTGAATACATTTTGATGAAATGGATGTAATCGATAGCAAAATATACGTGATGTTAGGTACTCTAAACATCTTTTTTTTTGTTTTTCGTTTTTTCCAACAAAAAAAAGGTAAAGGACGTTTTTTAAAGTAGCTCGATTTGAGACGTACGAATTTAATCAACAATTATTCGAAATTTGTAAAAATGCAGGTAGAGTTTTTCGAAGGTAAATCTGACCAAAGGATGTAAATGAATACATTTTTTTTCTCTTTTTAAGGCACAAGGACACGCCTTCCCATGCATGACTTGTTCCACAGCACATGCGTTTTTTCCTTACGTCATCTTTTTCTTTCTTTCTTTTTTTTTTACAAAAAGCGGCTCTCACGATTCCGTATGACAATGCTTATGTAAAATACGTAGTAACAACTATGCTATTAACGATAAGTAGGATACGATAATTTGAGGGGATGACGAATAAAGTACGATCCACCCAATTCCCGTAAGATAATGTTTTAAACTGTTTTTTCCCTCAGTATACAATTTATGCAAAATTGGTATCAACGTGTATACCTTATTTAATAAACATTATCTTAATCCAAAAGTTGGGTGAAAAAAAAAAACGATTTAATTTACAGCCACGAGCACACGAAGCGGGCGGCACGTACGGAAACGGCGTGATAGTGCGCCGGTACAAGACTGGCTCGGTGATACCGGTGCGGATCGAGCTGACCGCCAATCACCACGGCTACTTTGAGTTCCGCACCTGTCCCATGACCTACCACAACCAGGAGGTCACCCAAGACTGCCTGGACAAGCACGTGCTCATTGGGGAAAATGGCACCGCTCGCTACTATCCAGGCGAGGGCAACCGAATCTTCGAGGCCTACTACAAGCTGCCGGATGCCCTAACTTGCAGCCAGTGCGTCTTTCAGTGGCGCTATGTGGCTGGAAACAATTGGGGAGACTGTGGCAACGGAATCGGTGGGTCGTTGGTTTTTTTTTCTTCTTCCCTTCCTTTTTTCAATCGTCTTCATTGTTGCGCGATTGGTATATTTAGCGTTTGGCTATATCGATTGAAATTCAACGAGCGTCCAAAGCGCGAGGGAAAGTATATATTACATGATATCGAAAAGTGTCCGCCACCCAAATTGCATCATTTGTATTTCATAAGCAATAACGTTGCATTATTCGTTTGGCAATTCGGGTTGAGTAATTCTTATATGTATGTAGTCGTACAGCTGGAAAATCACTAGTGACCAAAGTCAAGGTAAACCAAAGACAGATGAAAGTGAAATTTGATGGACTTTACAGGCGCAGTGGGCTGCGGACCCCAGGAGGAGTTCCGAGCTTGTGCGGACATAGCCATAGGTGACGAGGAAGCGACCCTGCCGCCACGGCCCCGACCGACGAAGAGACCAACGAGGCCAACGACACCGAGAAGCCCGAGTTCGCCCACATCCACGGAGTCGAGCGATCACGCGCCCGAAATCAGCACGCCCTTCTGGATGTACCACGTCATCATCGCCGGTACGTGTCTCCTGGTTGTCATGGCAGTCATGGCATTGCTTTACGCGTATTACTACCACGCCGGCCGAGCCAAGCAGTGGCTCATGGCGAGCAGGTTGTTGGCGAGACGCTCCGAGCAACAACAGCATGAGACGGTGCCGCCTGTCGCTCCACCCCGACACAAGAAACAGCAGATGCAGATCTAGTTGCGAGCTGCGGTTGTTCAGGAACGATTTCTGGGATAAAGACTGACGACCGCAGGTTGTCCGTACACTTGTTGTGCTGTCCTATACGAGTGAAGCGATGATTCATTAGATGGCAGAGAGCAAGTTATGCTTGTTATGATTGGAATTTTTTTTTTTTTTTTTTTTTTAATAGTAATTTTGGTTGCTAAAGTCAAGGAAATTTGTGGAATTACTTGTAGCAATTCGTATCGACCTATACATGTATATATACGTATAAACATATTTTTGCGATGGATATTATTATTACTATTATTAAAAACGTATTTATTTTATAGCAAAAGTCGCTTGATTTCTTATGCATTGTTTATATAATTTTACATGACTCACGTAATCTTAGATTGTAGCATTGGATTGGTGTAATGCTTCAAGCCGATCATCTCATCCATATGTACATAAATACAAACTTTATTACTCATGTAGAATATATCCTTTACTTTAGTAAATCTTACTTTAATGTCGGTGAATTTATCTTTTGTGTTTTATTAATCTATCAATTTCAAATCTTAAAAAATCTCTTTGACTCATTTTTTTTACTTTACTTCATACTTGTAGAATTCCAAGTAAATGTAAAATACACTGTAGACTCTAACTATATCCATGCAACTTGGTATAAGAATGTTCAAGGAATCAATTATTTTTGTATAGCATGTGCAGAACGCAGTGTACAGAGAAAGCTGTTTTGGGCTCCAATGATAACTTTGTTTTCCAGAGATTCAGCATGAATTTATCTTGCGTGGATATAGTTGTGCCATACATTCATGCTGCACATTAAAAGGTGACAGTATAGATTTTTGAAGATTTTAACTTATGAATTATCTTTGTGCTTTTCGTTAGCAAAGCCTATAAACAAACTCGAATATTACTTTTTCAGCAGCATATTTCTGAAATCTGCATTACTCATTGGCTTAGTAGTAACTCCATTTCCAGCCCCGTTGCCAGTTACTTTATCGCTCTCATTATTACTACTTGCAGCTAGTTTCTGTGTGACAGTTCTAGGTACAAGTGACAAGATCGTTTTGGGATTGCCGAAAGTTGTTCTTTTTGACGTAGTGCCGCCAAGCGATCTGGTCGGTGCGTATGGCTCGTCACTGCTATTTGGCACATACCTTCGAGGCGGTGGTTGACTTATAGCTACGCTTATTACCCTATCCTCTATCTGCATTCCGTCGGTCGCTACTACAGCTTTAGCTACACTGCTTTCGTCTTCAAAGTCTATGTAAGCAATACCCTTTGAATTGCCGTTGCGGTATGTTACTATACGAACGTCCTTTAATTCACCGTGAACCTTGAAAATTTCTATCAAATCCTCCTTTGTCACGGATTGAGGTAGCCCTGTAAGTAAAGAAATTTTTATTATACATTTAATTTTTTTTCGTCCAATGAATTTTTTCAAAATTAGTTAATGCAATATTAAGCATTTATTTCATTGTACGGTCTACGTTTTTCGAATAAAGAATCTTGAAATCTCTCAAAAATTAATTCATAAGTACTTTTACGTAAAACAATTTTCGTACCTCTGACGAAGATTTTGTTTTTTTCCAAAGCAATGTTGTATTTGAAAACTGGATTTCTTGATGTCTTGTTAGGATCACACCTTGAAATAAACATAGGTCTGCCATCAATACGTGCTCTGTCCAATTTTAGAGCTTCTTCTACCTCTTCCTGTAATAATGGAAGTGTTCAATGTAACTTTGACGAGATTGTAAAATTTCACCAATTGTGAGTAAAAAAAGACTTACAGGACTGCTGAATTGTACGTAACCAAATCCTTTGCTCTGTCCTTTGAAATTTTTAGCTAATTTAAATAAGGTAATGGGACCAACTGGTTTGAAAATTTCTCGAATGTCTTCTTCATTTGCTGTGAAATCTAAATTACTAATGAATACGGAAATTTTGTCATCAACTTCTGGCATATTTTGTGACTCTTCTTCTCTTCTTTCTCGATTACGTTCCTCAAAACCAGGAGGTGGTGCTATTTTCGGTTTTACAGTAGTACTTGTTACTTTTTCGGGTGAAATTTTTCCTTTTTCTGTGAAATTTGATGGCCTTGCACTTTCTTTATTAGATCTGTCCATCTTTGCTGTTTTTGCTGTAGATCCAAGGTTTTTCCATTTTCCACTGTCATCCAATTTTCTCTTTCCTGCTTTTCTACTCGTGGATGCGTCTTCTTGTGTCATCGAGCGCTGTTGCAATTTTAGTCTCTCTTCCGCAACTTTTTCTAATCGCTCCTTGGTCTTTGTTTCACAAACTTCCATCTGTTCTAGTGTTCCTTCATCCCGCTCAAAGTTGATCCAAGCGTTTGATATAATTTCCGGCCAATCTTTGACGGATCCCAAAGCTTTTTGGAAAAGCTTACGCAAGTGTTTAGTATCACCATAACACCTGAAATTTTTATTTTTCCTTTAATGAAATTCATTACATTACACGGTTTACAAAATGTTCAAATATAATTTTACCTTTCTAACGAGATGTATTCCAGCCAACTGGCAGCTGCGTCAGAATGGCCCTGAGACATGATGTCTGACCACAAATTTCGAGCTTTTTCCATGTCACTTGCATAAAGTGCCTCAATCCTAGCCCAAAACTGTAAAATTTCGCAACTAGGATCCCCTTGGAGACCAAATCGCGCCAAAAATTCACAAGCTTTGTCAAACGAGTTTCTTAAAATTTCAATCTGCTTCTTTTCATCTTCTGACTTGTCGATTCTACGACGCAAATATTCCAAATATGTCATCCAGAGGATTTTGTACTCTTCAGGAGCAGAAAAACATTCCATTTGCAGTGCGCTTTCGATTAATTTTTGTGTTTCCACAACAGGCTTGTTGCTCTTTTCGTAAAATCTAATCCACTTTTGCCAAATTTTACTACACCATGGAACATTTCTGACCGCTCTGATGTAAACCTTCTCTATAATGTCATCTAATTTCAAAGTAGTTTCCAAGTATTCCACATAATCTATCCACAAAGTAGGTTCCAAACTCAATTCTGCAACAGCTCTTTCATAAAGCACTGTAACTCTTGCAGGATCACCATGTTCTTTCTCATAAGTCAGATACATTTTAAATGCATCTAACTGTTCTTCTTTAGTTTCAGATGACTCTAATTTCAATTCAAATGGCAACCGAGCATTAAGTTGCATGGAGGCTTTTTCATAGTTGCTCTTGATAATTTTTTCATCCTCTGCACAATCACTGCCCTCCGTGCTTCTCCATATACCATATTCTTCAAACGTCTTTTCCATACCATAGAGCGGGCAAGACAACTGACGTCGATAAAGCTTACCTATGCGATTTACCTCATCCATTTTTTCCGGACCATCTGAATCAATCTAGAAAAAGTTTATTTTATCAGCAATAACATTAAAAAGACCAAGTACTTGAAATATAATTTGAAAAAAAATGTCTTGAACAACATTACCATGAGAAGAAGGAAGTTTTCAAATTCTCTAAATGCATCCCAGATCAGAGCTCCTTTCATAACATGCAGTCCAGCTGCAGTTAATGCTTTCTCAAACAGGTTTCTAATCTTTTCAGTGGTCTCTTTGTCAGTACCAAGTCCGGTACTAAATTGCAAATATTCCAGCCACACTTCCACAGCTACAAATAAATGGAGAATTATCAAGTGATTGTTAATTTTACTCGTTACAGAAGCACAAAATCAAAACAAACAGACATTGATATCAATTAATAACTTTGTGCAAAAGCTAGCAAGTAAAATTTGAAATGTATTCTGTTACTCACAGAGGTAATCCTGGACAGCTCTCTCGCAGAGCTCCAATACAATAAGCTTCTGCTCCGAAGTGATGGACAACTTAATCTCATCTTTGATCCAGGCTAACCAGATGTCAGAGGTGAGGGGGAAGGTGGAGCTCATGTTCTCCCTAGCAGCCCTGAGCCGCTCGAGCTCGCCCATGGAGTGGAGCTTGTTGATGAGCAGCTTGTGCGCGTCGTAGTTGTAGGGCTGGGCCGTGACGGTTGACTCGTAAACTTTTACCTCCGCCTCATCCTCGTCCTCGTTCCCATCCCCGTCGTCATCGTCGTCCTCATCATCGTCGTCATCATCGTCCTCGTCTTGGTCGTTTTGGTAAGATTGAACTTTCGCCTCCTCGTCGTCGTCCTCGTCATCGTCCGAATCACTGTCCTCGTCATCTTCTTCTTCGTCACCTTCCACCGTCTCCATAGCATTGGCAGATTTGCCGGCGCTCGAGGGCACCTGTCCGCCATCGTCGTAAGACGGGAGGACCTCGTCGTCTTCTGGCTCCTCTTCGTCCGACGTGTCGGCCAAGAGTTTGCGCTCGGCTTCCTCGTCGTCGGCGCCGGCCGCGCTTGACTTGTCCATCTCTTGCTCCATGAGTAGTTTGAGCTTAATACAAATCCGAAATCGACAGGGTGCGAACTATAAAGCTGAACCGATGCGACGATGCTTGGGAGTTTATTATGATAAGCTTCGTTTTGACGATATAATTCGGAATTTCAGATACACATTTACACACTGCGATTAACATATACGTATATGTCGATTTTTATGATGGCTTAAGTACTCCAAACCAAATCAAATAACAATACGCACTCACGCACAGAATTTGCCATGAACTATAGTTATAACTTGTAGATATGAAATTGCCGTGGAAAGCGGCATCGACTCTGTCTTCTTCTTTATCTATTTTCCTGGAAGGTTATGTTATATGCATGCCAAAGATAAGTAGAGAGATAGACGGAACCGATAGTACCGATCATGTACCGACGGTAGGCGTCGGTACAGCAGGATCCATGCTCATGAGTCGATATAGTAGGAATTTTGCTAGGATCCTGCCGTATCGACGCACACTGTCGGTGCCTGGTCGGTAATACCGACTCAGTACTATCGGTTCCGTGGCGGGTGCTCAAATCACTCAATACAGGCATATACCTATATATGTATTAAATATTAACATTTAAATTATTGCATATAGGCGCGAAAAAGACCCTTGACCTTACGAAATAACCACTACCGCTAGATGGCGCTGACTTTTGTTTTGAATAATTTTAATTATAATAATTTCAGCCCACTAGTGTTTTCAGATAAATTCAGCCGTTTTCTCAAGGCAGATCAGCTACACGATGATACTGTAAAAGATAGATATTCCAAACTCACAATCCTACGGTTATTTAAATAGTACTGATGCAATGCAAGGAAGTTTTTACATTTTAACGTAATCAAGAGGACGGTACGGTGTAGTAGTATACTTTGCACTTAGGAGTAATACTCCTTATTATTAAGCGAGTACTTTGAAGTGGTACTCGTTCTCTCTCTCTACAATAATTGTAGAGTAATCTTACCTGGCTTATGAGTAATGAAGGCTTATTACATCAGAGATCGGAAGAATGGAATGAGTACAATGTCCAGCAATGCATGTACATTCAGAGATTTACAGGCCGCTTGTCAAAAGGGACAGCTGGCTAGGATGAAGCGCCTCGCCGAGGAGCACGACACGCGGGTGGGACTGGACCCTCTTCACCGGCACGCGACGACAGGTGACACTTGGACATCAGAGCGGCTGAGATGCTCTGGAGTGCATCAAATCTCTGCTCGTTATGTTTGCTGAATTCTGCGTATCTAGCGTGATTTTTTTTTGCGCATTATGTATACCCATTGTTTTTTATTAATTTTGACAAACTATATCAATCATAGATATTTTATGTGTTATTAGTAAATCTTTTTAATTAAATTTTTATCATCAGTTGCATTTTTTTTTGGATTTTCGATTAGAAAATATGATAATTTATAAAGAATATGATTTTTCATCAATGACATCTTGTATTTTAATCAAACTCGTTTCTCCAAAATCTCCTATTGATCAGTAACGTTTATTTATATTATTTTTTTTACTTTTTCACATAAGTTATTATTTGTTTCTACTTATTTATTGTGACCTTTTGTATTGTCTACTATGAGAAGACATATTCGATGAATATACATTGAATACTTATGAAATGGTATAAAAATAAATTATTGGTAAACTTATTGTTTTTGAAACATTTTTTTCTTTCATTTCTTATTTATTTATTTTTTTTTTTCTCACGACTCATGTCAATCGCACCAAGACCAAGTCGACAAAATTCTGTACAAGAGGCATTGGAAATAATTAAACCACTTGAAGACACTTATAATTTAAAGACAAAATACAAAAATAAGTAAGAAAACTTCCTTATAAGATTTTAAATACAAATATATATACGAACTTGTAATGTATTTACGTACAAAAATGCCAAATCGCTGTTTTATATTGAATTGCATATCTGCAGATATTGGTATAAATATAATGACACATCAAGTTTCGTGCATATGTAATGTGTGGGCCCTACTGACCGATTGACCAACTCCATCACCGCATTATTATGAAATGTATATGTATATTATTAAAAACTGCGTATGTCAATTGATGCTGATCGTGCAAGTATGACACTCACTGCGCGTCTTGCTGGTGATGTTTTAATTCGTGGAATTATGTACCTATTCAGTTGAATATCGTTTGCTTCAGTAGAGTGCGGTTCCGCGAACGATAAAATCATACTTTTGTACCTCTGACCGGTGATTTGGCTCTGGACATTCGGGTGAAAATCGTTCGACTCTTTTTCTTGAATAACATTGTAGTTGAGAAAAAAAGTGCCACGTACTTTTAGGTTTTTGAAAGTGGAAAATGTAATTTGATTGTGCTTTTTTCAGAGGTAATAATTAAGTTTCTAACAAAATTAATTTTACTTGTTATTGTGACTATTGAGGTATAATTTAAATCAAAATTTGCTTGTAATTTTAACTATTGAATACCTGAGCTAAAAAATTTACACATTTTGCATATTTTTGTTGCATATGAAATAAATTATTATTTTTTTTTTTTTTTTATAATGTACTAGTTTTTGATAATACAAGTAAAAAGGCAATAATAAAATTTTAGTAATATTTATAGTGGTTGTTGACACGTCACAGATAATACTGATTATTTAATGTATTATCTTGAAAAAACATTTTTAGATAAGTACATTCTCGAGTGAAAAGTTTCACCATAAATACAATAAGTATCGAAAAAAATATGCTGAGAATAAACCACCTAGGCTAAATCACCAAAGTAAACTAAAAGATGTAAGAAAGATTTTCTTTTCTCAAATAAATACATTTTAGAGTAATATTTATATAGTCACCCCTTGCGAAAAAAGAAAAACAATTCAAATTTTTCATGAATTGCAGTCTGTCATTGGGTTCTCGTGTGCGAAGAAGTTGAAAAATTTTTTTCTAATACTTAACATTTAATAAAATTATTAGTAATTTAAGAAACTAATTTTTTAGAGATCAAAAATTACATATACATCGTAATAGCAATTGTTAAAAAAATCACTTTTGGAAAATAATCTAAACGATCCAATTTTTTGTAAGTGGCAACGATATAACGGATAACTAAAAATAATTAATTTAAAATAAAAAAAATTGTTTCCATCTAAAGGCATGATAAACCCAAATTTTTTCTAGTACTTCACTCAATTGTCGAAGATGCGTTACACGCCTCGTGGGCTTGAAATATTCTTGCAGTTACTTCAATTTTTTATGATATCGCAATGTCAGTGTCCAGAGTACTTTCGTTACTTTCGCAATGAAACAACCAAAAAAATTATGGGAATTGTAGAGATCCCATCACCACCGTACGGAGTTCCTCTACACCTTCGCGTGACAATCAACGTTGCCACAATTTTGCCAACAGTATGTTTGAACATGTACAGTAGCTTTCGAAAAATACACATAGAAAATGTATTTAATACCATCAAATGTTCTAGAAATATACGGGTCACTTAGAACTGGCCCAAAGTAGAGATCAGACGATTAAATCGCTTCAACAAGGTTTACCGATTTTCTACAAACTTCACTTTCCCGTTCAAACCCCGATGCCCGTCGTAACCAATATTCTCCTTAACGGAATGGAGTATTGTTCGGGATCACCAGGTAGGCGTAAAGAAATTAGTTGGTACCAATCAGTAACTTCACAATTGTAAAAAAAAAAAATTTCTATCGGATCACATATTTAAATGAGAGATTTTTCTACTGTTCAGGTCATACGGAGTGTGTAAAAGAAAAATCAAAAAATCCTAGGCGCGTCTAAGAATTTTGAAAACGAGGCACAAAATATGTACTGTTATTCCCAATAATTTTACAACTACTGGTTGTTTATTCAAGCTCATTGAAGAGTCGATGTTTTTATTTATTATTTTCAATAAAGTTTACATTATGATTTTCTTGAGAAATGAAAAATTTTTTCAAGGATTCGAAACTTTTTGTGGAAAATATCTGTATGTATTCTGATTGGAGCAATAATTATAAGTAATTTTTCTTGTAATTTTAAGAATATACAAACTTAATCACTCATAGCTTTTGAGTTTTATGTTGTATGACGACTAAATCAGTTTCACTGGAGAGTTTTTTCTCGCTTTTTGTTATTGTTTTTTATCTTTTAAATGACTTAAAACACGCATCTCATGTCGATACGTATCTAATATTTCTATGGAATGTACTGTATAAGTAAAAAACAACGTTTATTTGTCGATTTTAAACGTTATAACTGTTAAAGCTCTAAACTGCTCCATTATTTTAAGACGTCGTTATTTTATCTATACTCGGTGAGTATGACCAAGGTAGTAGGAAAAATTTGTCATGTTTATTTGATGAAAGAAACGAAAATTGTTCATAAGATAAATAATTTTCGGAATTTCCAACTTATCTCGGATTGATCGAATAGCCGTAGGTCCAGCCGTGACGAGTATCAATTTCGAGCACTCGCTGTATCCCCCACGAGTGATCATCCCACTGACGGACGAGCTAATGCAGTACCTGTCTAGCGAGTCAACCCCAACATCATTGACCACCCAAATATTCCCGACCACATTCCCCCAAACAACGTCATCAACGCAACGAACCATCGTCCCATCAACGTCACAACAGCCATCGACGACCCCGAAAAGATTCACAACGGCAAAGACGCCGCAAGGGCTGTTTCAGCTTTTGCATCCAACCAAACCAAAGGTCAACTTCGAGTGCGGCTTGAACAGCGAGGAGGACCCCAGCCTCGGGGAAGTCAAATCCCTGACCTGGCCCTGGATCGCAGCGATTTTTCACTACGGCATTTACTTTCTCTGCACTGGGATTTTGGTATCCAGGCAGCACGTTCTCACCGGTCAGTTGTTTTTACCGCCTGATGCATCTTATTGACCCAACGACAGTATTGAATACACTTTTTCTGATTCTCATCAAAATAACAAAATTAGTGGCTCACTGTTTAAAAGACATCCATCCGTATCTGTTGAGCGTGTCGCTGGGGAGACGAAGTACGTCGAGCTACGACGACGTGGACGGGAGCGTTGACATCGAGGTGGTCGGGGTTAAACTGCACCCGGACTACTCGAACTTTGAGAGCGCCGATTCCGACTTGGCTGTGATTACAATGGCCGATCCCGTCAATTTGACGCCCAGCATCCGGCCGATTTGCCTGTGGATGGGGAATAAAGATCTCAACAGAGTGGTCGACATGGATGGCTATGCTATTGGCTGGGGAAGCGGTGGGAAGAGGCAGTCGGATTTTTATAGGACATCGAAAGTATCTATCGTATCGCAAGTAAGTTCTTATGATTTTTTTTTTTTTTTTTTTTTTTGGGATTTTTTTTTTTTTTAAATTAAAAAAAAAAAAAAAAAAAAAAAAAAAATCAAATAAAAAACGCATTTTCTCATAATAAGGTGGTACATATTATATTTTGAATTCAAAGAATATATGAGCAACGCAACCCTAACGGAAAACATAACTTCTAAAAAAATTAACACGATTCGTTGCTCTTAAGTTCATACAAATAAATTTTTAATAAATGCTAGTAAAACTTTCTATCATTCTGAAAGTATGAAAATATTTTTCTTTTCCCCTAGGAAAATTTTGATTTTAGCACATCTTTTTGATATAATTTTGTTTTATCATGTCTAAATCTTTATTCAGACATTTACTATTGGGACCAATCATGCAATGAATAAAAAGACTGCAGTAACGTGATTTTATGTAAAAAATCTAATTGACAACATTAGCAAAATTCATGTAGCTCCGGTATGTATACATGACAGTTTGTAATTTAAAAAATTTTTTTAATTTCAGAAAGATTGTCGACGAAAAAGCGGTTTTGGTGACGTTACTTCGGATCGAACGTTTTGCGCCATAAGCAAGGACGAAGAGGGTTTCTGCAAGGACAGCAGCGGCAGTGGGCTCATTTTGTACTCCAAACTCCATAAAAGGTATCACTTGAGAGGAATGGTCTCTTTGTCGATGCAAAACGTCGACACGGGTGCTTGTGACAGCGAAGAATTTGTCGTTTACGTTGACGTAGCTGGTTATCTTCCCTGGATTAGACAACAAATCAGTTGAAAAATCAACGGTGGAACAATTATTATAGACTTTTGAGCCAATGAACATTTTTTTGGTTCGATGACTGTGTTGTATGTTACAATGATAATTATAGGTTTTAAAATAAAGTAAAATTTAGATGTATGTATAGGTTTTCATATAATAATAATAATCAACAACGTGAAAAATGGAAAAATCACTCGTTTATTCTTTATTATTAAAACAAAAACGTAAGCTAAAAATAATTTAACATACTCGAATCATATTTTTAACTCTTTTGACAGAAGCTAGCTGTAGATTAGCATCACTTTATAGTTATATTGTCTTTGTATATATACGTGACCTTACGTACTATTACATAATTTTATAATTATGTATTGGTTACGAGAATAAATTATCATCAATTCAAAGTTTATCGGTATAACGATACTAATAATACTGTACATGTGGGATTTTAGTACACAAGGAAATCATTACTGTTTTTGTAAGGAAAAAACTTGTATGAATAATTAATCTATACTGCAAAACGTGGTTTGCAAAATTTGTACACCGCATTTCTTTCTGATAATAGATTAATATCTTCATTTAAGTTGTTGATCATCTCAGTTGCTACAAAGTATTTTTAGTAGTTAATTTTTTCACTTTCTATTTGTTTGCTGCTATTTTAATGACTTTGCAATCGATATCTTCTTACTTGTGTAATAATACTTTACTGTTGGAGTTTATTTTGTGCAATTAGTACATGTGTGTGTTGTGTATTTAAATTAAAGTATATTATTATATTTGTATAGTCAGGGCGTTACTGGATTGGTGATTTGTTGAACAAGTGAGTTGGTGAACGTAAGGCTTAAGGTAGTACCGTCGGGTTAATTACTTACTTGATTATCTGAGAAAACATTATTGACACTTTTGTTTTTGTCGGTTGAAAAAAGAGTTTATGGAAAATCATAAACTTTTCCAGTTTAATGCGAATTGAACTAAAGCTATTTTAGGATCTAAAGAAAATAAAAAAAAATTAAGATACAAAAAAAGTAAATTTGATTTCTACTGAGTAAACAACAAAGTGGTTTGACCTCTAGCACACATTATACGTGTATAATGAGGATTAACTGTACATTTTTTCATGATTTTTTAATAATAACTTCACAAGTATTGGCAGTTTTAGTATAAGTTATACATTTTTCTAGTCAAGTACCGACAGTACTACTACTATATCTTGAAAGGGTGCAGGAAAGCTTTTTTGTTGATGATACACACAATGTGGTGTGGTTAATCTAATACATAGTCATGAGGTAAGTGATCCAAGGGTCGTGGCTTATAATAATAAGTATGAGGCTAATGATATGAACAAGCTCGACGAGTTTGTTTGATACAACATTTTTTTGTATAAACTAATAATTTTATACATAATAAAATAAAGAATTAAATAATACTCGCGTTTATTACAAAAAGTCATCATGAATCCAATGGTGATGATAACGCCAGGCAAAAGTTAAATGAACCATGTATTGATATCACTGAACATAATTATATTTTTAATTCTTCTTCTATTTTTTGAGAAAACTTTTTGATCCACTTTTGATATGTGGATCACTTATCTCAGTATATTTTAGATGTATTTCTCACTCAATCATGCGCACATGAGAAGAAGTAAGCTAAGAGGAACATGACTCAGGCTTTTGGACTAGATTCACACGTTGACGTCGACACCTACCTAAATAAATACCATTGTTTTTGCGATATTACAAGAAAGATATTGCTTTTTCACGTACACCATACGATCCTTGTACATCAATTGTANAAAAAAAAAAAAAAAAAAAAAAAAACAACAACTAATCGTACAAAAACCCATAGAGAAATCTCCCTTATCAAAATCAAGTGCTAAAACACAGCCGGTAGGTGCTGCAACCTACGGGCTCTCACCGCTACTCTATCCCCTCATCGGCACTACATCGGTATCACTCTCCATTCGATTCCACGCCAAAGCTCTCTCTGCATACGTTGGCCATCTCACATCAAACAACTCTCCGATCATCAATAATTCAGTTTTATCGAACCGCAGTCCCTAACCAGTAAAAATTACCCTCTCATCCGGGGACGTAATTGTGAAAAAACCCCGACTCACACGCGTGCAACCCAACACACATCGCTCGCGGTTTATCCTTCGGGGGAAAAATCAATAATATCATCAGCGTGTGTGCACGAGAAAAAACAATGTCTCAAGCTCGTGTCCCGAGGAAGGGAAGGTGGCTTCGATCAGCTGAGACGTATCGTACATACACAGGCAACATGTATAGGCTCGTGCATATTGTATTACGGAAGCGAGAGCATCAATCGCATACACACACATGTAATTATGGAGGGACACGGGACGACAGATGGTCTTCCTTAACAGCGATGATGGGCGACCTTTGGCGTCACGCAAGCGCGAAAATTGCAAGCATCCTTGTACTCGCCACGTTAACCGAGCTGCGAAATTAGCGACTGGTTGACGATTAAATGACATTGCGCTCGCTTCGTGTGGTGCGCGAGCTGAGAGCGACTTGATACGTAAAGGAAGAAAACAAGGGGAGCACAGCAGTGGCCCCTCCTTCGTTTCTTCTATATTTAGCCTTTGTCACTACCAAAGCAGATGAGTTGAAACAAATTAAAAAGGGGGCACGGGGAGAAACAAAATTAAAGTGCGAGATACTCAGGCAGGAGTAGTAAGCTTAAACTAGTGGCACATTTAAAATATAGGTGTGATGATTTGAGGACTCACCATCGTGACGGTGGTGATGTACCTTGTACCGCTGGCTGGACGGGAAATATATGTATTTTTTTTTTTAAATTATTAATAATATTATATTTTCTTGGTTGTATCTCTGTATCCTTCCCTTCTTCTCAGATTAAAAAAAAAAAAAATCAGTACTCTGCCCCAAAAATAAAAAAATAAAAATAAAATCCTTACTCACTGATCACCAGAAAAGTCAGACAGACTCACCTGAAAGTATCCATCGTGCCCAGCGCAAATAACGTAGACGGGGGTTACCCTCAGTCTGGTAGTCCTGGGCTCGTAAACGAGGCTAAGCTTGAGCTTGAATCCTCCGGCTTCGAGCTCGAACCTATTAGCTCCACGCTGCAGCTCGACTAGGAGCCTGAATTCGCCACTGACGACCGGCCACTCGGCCGTCTGACTCTTGTGGCTACCTCGGACGCGGATGTAGGTGCAGCCCAAAGGTGCCCTGCCACGGACAAGGACAAGACTGTAGCTGAAAGTTTCGCCCTCGCTCACGTTCAGTACGTGAATACCGTCCTGATGCTGATGATTGTTGTGATGGTTGCGGTGGTTACTTCTGCCGTTGTTATTGCCTATTTTGTTGGTCGTACCGTTGTGGCTGGTGGTGCTGCTTACGAAAGAGTTGCTGCGCTGGTGCAGCAGGTGGTGGTACTGCGGGTGCAGGTTGTCCCTCGAAGTGTCCGCCAGCACCTGCGAACGTAGTGGGTAATCCTTTTTTAGTTCTTTGAGGGTGAGCAGGATTTTAATATTTTAATGTGATTCTATTAATATCTACTTCTTTGGGAGTTTTCTTTAAGGAGATTTTTAATGTTGGTAATTCCTACGTATTGAAATTCTCAATAAACATTTGATACGCATAAGTAATAAGATAAAAGTGTAGAAACATAAATTAGATGAAATAAATAAATTCTAGATTCAAGTTAGTGAGAACTGATTAGGCAAGAGTACAGCTTTGAATAAAAATCCGAATAAAATATAAACTTGTAGCATATACTGCATTTTTAATCCCNAAAAATAAAAAAAAAAAAAAAAAAAAAAAAAATCAAATAAAAAACGCATTTTCTCATAATAAGGTGGTACATATTATATTTTGAATTCAAAGAATATATGAGCAACGCAACCCTAACGGAAAACATAACTTCTAAAAAAATTAACACGATTCGTTGCTCTTAAGTTCATACAAATAAATTTTTAATAAATGCTAGTAAAACTTTCTATCATTCTGAAAGTATGAAAATATTTTTCTTTTCCCCTAGGAAAATTTTGATTTTAGCACATCTTTTTGATATAATTTTGTTTTATCATGTCTAAATCTTTATTCAGACATTTACTATTGGGACCAATCATGCAATGAATAAAAAGACTGCAGTAACGTGATTTTATGTAAAAAATCTAATTGACAACATTAGCAAAATTCATGTAGCTCCGGTATGTATACATGACAGTTTGTAATTTAAAAAATTTTTTTAATTTCAGAAAGATTGTCGACGAAAAAGCGGTTTTGGTGACGTTACTTCGGATCGAACGTTTTGCGCCATAAGCAAGGACGAAGAGGGTTTCTGCAAGGACAGCAGCGGCAGTGGGCTCATTTTGTACTCCAAACTCCATAAAAGGTATCACTTGAGAGGAATGGTCTCTTTGTCGATGCAAAACGTCGACACGGGTGCTTGTGACAGCGAAGAATTTGTCGTTTACGTTGACGTAGCTGGTTATCTTCCCTGGATTAGACAACAAATCAGTTGAAAAATCAACGGTGGAACAATTATTATAGACTTTTGAGCCAATGAACATTTTTTTGGTTCGATGACTGTGTTGTATGTTACAATGATAATTATAGGTTTTAAAATAAAGTAAAATTTAGATGTATGTATAGGTTTTCATATAATAATAATAATCAACAACGTGAAAAATGGAAAAATCACTCGTTTATTCTTTATTATTAAAACAAAAACGTAAGCTAAAAATAATTTAACATACTCGAATCATATTTTTAACTCTTTTGACAGAAGCTAGCTGTAGATTAGCATCACTTTATAGTTATATTGTCTTTGTATATATACGTGACCTTACGTACTATTACATAATTTTATAATTATGTATTGGTTACGAGAATAAATTATCATCAATTCAAAGTTTATCGGTATAACGATACTAATAATACTGTACATGTGGGATTTTAGTACACAAGGAAATCATTACTGTTTTTGTAAGGAAAAAACTTGTATGAATAATTAATCTATACTGCAAAACGTGGTTTGCAAAATTTGTACACCGCATTTCTTTCTGATAATAGATTAATATCTTCATTTAAGTTGTTGATCATCTCAGTTGCTACAAAGTATTTTTAGTAGTTAATTTTTTCACTTTCTATTTGTTTGCTGCTATTTTAATGACTTTGCAATCGATATCTTCTTACTTGTGTAATAATACTTTACTGTTGGAGTTTATTTTGTGCAATTAGTACATGTGTGTGTTGTGTATTTAAATTAAAGTATATTATTATATTTGTATAGTCAGGGCGTTACTGGATTGGTGATTTGTTGAACAAGTGAGTTGGTGAACGTAAGGCTTAAGGTAGTACCGTCGGGTTAATTACTTACTTGATTATCTGAGAAAACATTATTGACACTTTTGTTTTTGTCGGTTGAAAAAAGAGTTTATGGAAAATCATAAACTTTTCCAGTTTAATGCGAATTGAACTAAAGCTATTTTAGGATCTAAAGAAAATAAAAAAAAATTAAGATACAAAAAAAGTAAATTTGATTTCTACTGAGTAAACAACAAAGTGGTTTGACCTCTAGCACACATTATACGTGTATAATGAGGATTAACTGTACATTTTTTCATGATTTTTTAATAATAACTTCACAAGTATTGGCAGTTTTAGTATAAGTTATACATTTTTCTAGTCAAGTACCGACAGTACTACTACTATATCTTGAAAGGGTGCAGGAAAGCTTTTTTGTTGATGATACACACAATGTGGTGTGGTTAATCTAATACATAGTCATGAGGTAAGTGATCCAAGGGTCGTGGCTTATAATAATAAGTATGAGGCTAATGATATGAACAAGCTCGACGAGTTTGTTTGATACAACATTTTTTTGTATAAACTAATAATTTTATACATAATAAAATAAAGAATTAAATAATACTCGCGTTTATTACAAAAAGTCATCATGAATCCAATGGTGATGATAACGCCAGGCAAAAGTTAAATGAACCATGTATTGATATCACTGAACATAATTATATTTTTAATTCTTCTTCTATTTTTTGAGAAAACTTTTTGATCCACTTTTGATATGTGGATCACTTATCTCAGTATATTTTAGATGTATTTCTCACTCAATCATGCGCACATGAGAAGAAGTAAGCTAAGAGGAACATGACTCAGGCTTTTGGACTAGATTCACACGTTGACGTCGACACCTACCTAAATAAATACCATTGTTTTTGCGATATTACAAGAAAGATATTGCTTTTTCACGTACACCATACGATCCTTGTACATCAATTGTACATATATGTCTACCGTAACAAACAATCATATGAACAACTGAGACGAACGAATTTCTTTAAAAATGCATTCAACTGTGAAAACTAGTTTTATCTCTACTCTTTGATTATTTGGTTGGACTGTAAGACTCATAGGAACTTATAAAATGTCAATCTGATCCGACAACACATGATATACAAATGTTTTAGGCAACATATTTTTGCGAATTCATCGCAATTAAAGCTCTCAAGAGAGACCATGTCATACACCACTTCGATACACTATCAAGATTCACATCGAATGAGTGATGATCACGTAACTTTGTGGGTAATCCAAATAATCGATTTTTAAAGTTGCTAGAGATCAAGAATATATATACTCTCTATTTTTCTGTGGGAATCGTTTTGCTACGATTTATTTGCTCATTTGTATTGTGCTCATTCACATATATAGAAAAGTATCTAAAGGCAACGTTTTCACTCGGAAACATGAAGGCCACCAAACTCCGCCGTTACAAAGTATAATACGTAAAATTAATAAGTACCAATATTTTTTAATGCTATTTGCAGAATTATAGCGTGTAGAGTAATCGATTATTCGAAAACATCGAAAGCTTGCTCGAAGCAATTTTTTTTCGTCGTACAGCTACGCGTGATTATAAGTAAAACATGATGGCATACGGACGATGAAAGGAAAAGTACGGCACAGAGATTTATGTTAAAATACATAAAAATTATGACTTTTAGTGCAGAGATGTATCTATAGCACCTTTATGGGTTTATTACATGGTTTTTGCAAGTAATGGTCACTTTTCATCCAATTGACAATCAAGTGACAATTTTAATACTGTTTGTTGATGGTTTACGAAAAATTCTACAATTATTATCATTACTGCTTTCACGCATTCAATATTAAAACCGTGAACTGGAATTATATTCTGCTCCACATTTTCACCTTAACGTTTACGCATTTATATAAATTAATAGAGACTAGAATATGTTGAAAAAACCGTGTAAGTACGAGTAAATCGATGTTTATTATTCATTCATTTGAATAGTATTGTTGTGAAAATTTGATATTGAGATATCCTACAATCAATCTTTTGTTAGTATTATCATTATTTGTCTACCTCAGATTTAACGCGGAGGATGAGGTACATGCATGGAATGGATATTCGTGACTTTGACGGCAACGTTAGCTACACGATTACGCTGAGACTAAAAAATCATTATTTCAGTTTTATGGAGCACTGCCCAAACTGCAGTCTTGTTACATATTAAAGTGTGTGCAGCTTATAAATCTTAAGTGTACATGCAGTTCTCACACATCTGACATCAGAGGCATTTGGAAACATTTTTGTACACTGCAAAACGAGCATACTAATGGATAAAACGTGAAAGAGCGACAGAGATGAATCTATGTAACTCTATAAGTATCTTCGTAAACTAAAAAAAAAAAAAACTATACCTGCCCAAATTTTTAACAGTTTTCTTATTCTCTTGATATTGATTTGCTCGTTCCAAATGTTTGTTTAGCTGTTTTAATTATAAAAAAATTGTTTATGCTACGACACAAAAGATTATCATACTTTAATATTATATGAAACAAAATAAAATAATCTCCTTTTCACGCAGCACCAAGCGTTACTTATTTATGGACGGATATAAGCGAAAATTTATACAATTAGAAAAAGTTTGAGTTGAAATCGGTTTAAAATTTTTTGATGAAGACAAGAAATTCAACGAAACATGATGGTTAAAACTGACGTAAAAAATAGTATGTTGTTCCAGATCACGATAAAAAGAATGCATATACTCTATTATCATCAAAACAAGAGATACAAAGTAGTATGAATATTAAAATGTATCCTTAGGAGTAAATTCACTAGTACATAGATTGTTGTATGAAAAAAAATATCGATTAATTTTATCCTTCTCGTCAATTTTTGTTATATTTTTCCAACAATTACTTATCAAACTACTTCAGTTAAAAATTTGTTTATTCAGACACATTTTTGCCTTTCTTGCATTTTCTTACTAAAACCAGCTTTAAAAATGCATATAAATTAGATTGCCTGAGTTATAAAACTACATTTATTGCTATTCAGACTCTGGGTAACATTTGGTTTGAAAAAAAATGTTGACCATTTGAACCAAACGTATGTATTTTCATGTCGCTCCTACCAAACATGGTTTAGCAGTTTGTGAGCTAGTCGTCGTAATCTGCCTCTGTTGCCACACATGCTAGAACTGCACGAGTGCTCAAGCCCGTTTTTATCTCTACAGACATTGTATGAGTGACAGTGACTCTCTTCAATCAGTGCTTTTAAAAACCGAAACGTTATTTTGTTCATTTCAGCGTAGTCCCTAAAACGCCGTAGGCAAGGGGTGTTTTAGGATACTGCCGACTGAGTCCTCGGCGACGAGAGTCAGGGCTGCGAGACAATGGGGTGGTGGTGGCGGTACCATCGCCTCCAGGGTCAGGTGGTTGCCTGGGAACTGACGCGATGCCACGACCAGTCCTCCGACCGATTCACGCAGCTCGATGATCCGCACGCCGAAGCGCGACCGCACCACGTTCCTGTAAAAAAAAAAAATCCAGAGTTTTCAAGGAGACTTTTTCTGATGTGGACAATAAGATATTTCTCCTGAGTAGTAAACGAACTTTCAATTATTTTATCAATTGATCAAAAAGGCGATTTTCCGTGAGATGAGCGTGGAGCTTCACAAGACCAAGAGAAAAGTTTAAAGAAATAAATACTGAAAAAAACGTGGTATCGGTTTCTATCTCGATCTTGAGTCAATGGTATCTTGTATTGTTTTGTATTGCCTTGATATTGTCTCATAATAAAAAAAAATATTCCCATTGAAACAATAGCAGGAGTCCTTTTGATTAATCAAGAATTGCAAACGGAATACCTGCAGTGGCGTTGGAAAAAAATATGATGGATTTATTCGATCTCAAAGGCTCGGTCTTCATCTAAGGGCTTACAGCACTCAGAGCAAATCTGAGCATAGAAATAATATAACTTTTCTTTTCCCCAAATTATCCGTAATCCAATTAAAAACAACAAGGCTCCGCTTGATTAACCGGTAGCTTGTAACAGGGGTCAGATTTGCATGAGACCAAGGATCAAGAAGGCCTTTTCGAACAATAGATCGTAGCGCTCGGAGAGCCCCAAAACTCTTGATCGAACAATTACACATCAGGTACCGTTACGAATGACCATTGGGAAATATTTTTCCATTTACACCCGACACACGTTGATTTACAAAAGTGAAAAAATTGCATGACATTACGACAAGGGTGCACCAACCTCTTGGCGTCGTACTTGAGATCGTTGCAGTTGAGCCGGCGCACATTGTCCAAATCCGAGTTGAACCAACGATGGTGGGCCAGCAGAGCGGCACACGAGCCGCCCCAGTAAGTGCGGTCCGTCTGGGCGGGTGTCTCGGCGCTCGCCGCTATGCTCCTGGCGAAGGACCGGTTGAGCTCGGGGCTAGCCGGGGCCGATAGCCTGCCGGGGGTTCTGGTGCCACTGGCCTCGAAGCCAACCAGGCCACCGGACCGGCTCGAGGTCTCCGAAAGCAGCCGATTGCGCCTGGGACTGGCCACAGGGGGCTGCTGGACCGTAACCGTGACGCTGAGCGGCCTGCTCAGGGCCACCGTGGTGTGCTGGGGCTCTCGGCGCACGGGGTTGCGGTTCGAGTCGATGCCAGCCGCCCCGACGAACACGCGGTCCACGTAGTCGAAGCCTCGGCCCATGATGCCGTCCCGCGTGTGCCCCAGGTCGAAGGTGTGCCCGAGCTCGTGGAGCACAGAGCCGAGGGTGGTCGCCAGGCAGCCCCCGTGCGTGCCCCGGTAGTTGCTGTCGTCCATTAGCTGCTCGGTGTCGATCGCCGTCGTGTCGAGGAAGCGCGCCAGCACCTTTCGTCACAGACGCTCAATTAAACGCGCTCGTACAGGGGCACTCAGTTTTATAATCAGAAAAGTATTTCCTTCGTCCCACTTTACCAGATTGATAAATCATCGTGGTTAAAAAAGACCCCTCCAATAAGATACATTTATGTTTTTGTGAATTGAATATTACATCTTTGTATGTTGTAAAAGGGGGTATCTCGTAAATATTCATCCATGAATGATTACATTTTCTACATCCCAGTCACATCGTTTTTGAGACATCTGTAACTGACGTTTGACATGAAAAGAGCCCTAGTTTACAATTCAGTTTTACCAATACATGAAAAACTGCTTTTACCATTTGTAGCAAAAAATAATAAATCTTGTAACATATATGTCGATGAATGGAAGTACAAATTTTTTTGAGGTCCTAGTCAAACCCTTTATATAAAATATTGAATTAAAGTGAACTCGATGGCATAAAATGTCGTGACAACTGCAAGAGTGAAAATTTATGCAAGTAGTGAAAATAACAAAATTGATAAAATAAAAAATTTAACTCGATTACTAACGATAGAACGAGGCTCAAGGTTTTAGAGATATAATATCGATGTGCCTTATACACAACACGGACAAATTGGATTATACATTAAGCTCCATATTATCGTCTCTATTGATTCAACAAACTGTGTGTTGTAACACTTGGGCATAGCTTTCTCTGTACTTTTATTGTTCATGTATATATATATATATATATATATATATATATATATTATCTACAGTAGGCTTATTTGGTCTAGATAAAGTTTTCTCATCATTATATTTCTTGATTGATTTTTCATACATGTAATTAATTAGGTGAGTATGTTAGTAAATATTTTTTTCTTTTCTATTTAAAAAAAAAGTAAATTATAATTTCAACAGTTTTACACATGTTACGCGTGTTATGCAATAATTAATTAATATAAACTACGTCAAGTAACCCAGTAAAAATACTAATAACGTAAAACAATTTTCAATGATAGTTTTTTTGATAAAAAATATAAATCTTTGTTTGCTATCAACAGTGAGATTAGGAATCTAAGCCAACACTTGCATGGCAAAGAGTTATTTGGTTAATAGTTCTAAAAGTTTGAACTCCAGCGACAAGCGTCTTGAAATTTAAATCAATACTTTGCTCACTTTCTGATTTTTCAAGTCAACTTAAAAATGTGCTTGGATCATGTTTTATGAAATTTTGGGAAAACATTTAGAAAGCAGTAAATTTTTCGTTGATTTCAAATTAAAACCACAACTACGGTGTTACAGATACAAAAATATGATAAAATTGATTTTTCTACGTATATTCCAACATAAGTAACCATGCAATAAATTGCATTTCTTTCGCCTCAATACTTTAATTAAGAAAATTTTTTGAGTTAACTTAAATGCTCTAGATAAAAAGGTATTGTTAAAACATGATCATCATTAAAGTTAAGTAAATGTGTATTTTCGTATATTTTCATTAAAAGTCCGAAAAATCACCTGAATTTGTGGTCGTGGTCAATTAATTTAATATATACAACAAGGCCAGTGTGTCCGCGGTTTGTTTCGCCTTGGGATAAAAATGTAGCGCTTCACACTCGTGGCGAAGGGCAGAAGAGCTCAAAGCAAAGACTTTAGTTTCAATGTTTTCACCAAAAGAGGCTATATAGTTTCGAAATCGTTTTTTTTTTTTTTTTCTAACTTCTGACAGTTAGCCCTATTACTCAGTCGACTGAATAAACAAAAAAAAGCTAGATCATCACGCAACAAAAGGAAGAATACAAGTAATTTTCTTGTCACTCGCGCATAATTTTACTAATACTATAGGTGTAATATGCCAATATGGCACATAAATCGTACTATACACACCTGTGCCATACAAGTGGGCCACGTGTGAAGACAAGCCGAGCCAAATAGCGCGAGTCCACCCCCGCCTAGAGCCGCATGGCCCTGAGTCCTAGCGAGGGTGTCTTCGTGGGTCCGAGGATTCGGGGCACCCCTGTACCTCGTGCAGGACAAAAAGGCCAGATACTTCCGGTCCTTGGAGGCGAGTGGCCCAGTCATCAATTCCCTGCCAATCAGTTCCCAGAGCTCGCGCTGTGACATGGCCCGGGCGCGGTCCACGTGTAACACGCTGTGCATCACTAGGCACTCGGGCCCGTCGAGGTCGCGCTCCAGCTGGAAGGTCTTGCGCCCGTGGCCAGCCTCGTGGATCTTCTCGGCCGTGAGGCTCTGGAGCAGACGAGCGCCCAGCCCGATGCGCGTGGCGGCGCTCTCTGGAGAACGGTCCTCGCTTCTAGGGCCCTGAAAATTTTTGTATTTGTGTCTCGAGAATGATTATTATTATTATTTTTTTTTTTTTTACACAAAAATTTGGCTATTTGATTGTTTTCATTACAAACTGCAAGTATTTATTTTTGTCTCATATTAAACGATTTTAAAGGACTCTCAAGCCATTTGTTGTTGAAATAGCATGTTACATTGCTTACAAAATTATTGGCAAAACGCATGAAGTGTGTCTGTATTATTTTAAGTAACGAGCATCAGTTAAAAAAAAAAAAATGAAATAACCATCTTCAAGTATTATCAAAATAATTTTTTAAATT